AAAACTGCTGATAGATCGCTGGAGGGCGGGGGGCGGGGGTCAAAGGTCGTGGTTTAGCCCCTTCGTGAGTTCAGCAGCACAGCTGGGATCCCCCTTCCTCGTCCTGGATGGTGATTGGCCGAGCACCGATGGCGGGAACGTTGTCCTTCAGTGCGCCTGATCAGACGGTGTTGTTCAGGGTGAGAGAAGGGGCATTGTGGGGGGGGGGGGGGGGGGGGGTTCCACCTGGATTCTGGAGTGGTTTTCACAAAATCACAGGAACGGAATCGACAAACGCTGCCCCTGGAGTCTCGCACAACGTGTCCCTTGCGTTCTCTTATTTACTTATAGTCAACTTCGTCTTCTTGATATTTTCACACGTAAAAAATAAAAATAAATTTCAGTTCCCCTCCCCTCCCCCCCCCCCCAAAACGATCGTGAAAAATAAAATAATTCCGACGTATAAAACCGGCCGCGGCATTGAGGTTGTCAGATTATTATTTGGAACGAGGAAACAAAAATAAACGTTATAATATCATCATCATCATAATAACAATAACAGGAGCGAGGCGCGTGGCTGGGGGTTGGAGTCGCGGTGTTCGTCGCGATGTGGGACAGACTTTCGTGGTGGCTGAGGAGTCGGAGTCGATTACCGAACTACCGACAACCACCATACCCCCAACCCCCCCGGGCCTCGTTCCGTTTTTTTTTTTACGAAGGACAATACTGTACTGTAGAGGCTGTGTAACAGTCTGTGCGATCAACGTCCCCACACACTTGGATACAAGATGCCACGCGATTACAAACGAACACACCGACTAAAGAACACAACTGAACAAAAAACGGAGGGAAGGGGGGGGGGGGGTGGTGGTGTGGGAGGGAAACAAAGAAGCGGAGAAATCTCCAACCTGCGACGACGACGACACAAGAGAACGTAAATATTAATGACTTTCATTATTTTCTCACGGTGTTTTTTTTTGTGTGTGTGTGTGTGTCCTTCGTCACGACGATCCCATGTGTTACTACCATCGTTATCATTTACATTTTTTTAAAGTCACAATTCTAATTTACAGGTCCCGCCGCCTTTCTCTCGGAAGCGGGCCGATCATAAATACAAGTTGACGCGCTCGCCACGTCGTCCCCCACGACGTCCCCCACGACGTGCCCGGCACCACCGTGCCCCCCACCCCAATTGCCGCGCACATAACCGGCTCAACGTTCCTAAAGCTCCCCCCCCCCCCCCCCCCCCCCCCCCCCCCCCCCCCATGGCAGCCAATCATAATTATTCTGCATAGTTACATCGTCTGGCTTTTTACTGATTGGTTGACTTGCTTCTACTGCCGTATTCGACAAGACAAGGAGAGGGAGGGGGGAGGGGTAGAGAATGAGGGGGGGGGCACAGACATCATTTAACAAGTCGGCCACACCGCTCCCCACAACCGACCCCCACCCCCAACCCCGCCTTGCCCCTCTTCCCCTCTCGATAAACTGAACCCCAATTAAGAGACCGCCCCCCCCCAAACCCCCAAATAAAATCCTAAAATTCTGGCAGCCCTAACAGTGCCCCCCGCCCCCCACTACCTTACCCAGAAACTCGACAGAACTGTAGTCATTCTGATATGTGCCATGTGCCCAGCCCCAACGGATTCAAGTATGTTATTCTTTTTATTATAAATTAATATACTTTTTACATTAATTACTTCAAACCTTTCATTGTTTTTTTCTTATGTGTGTATCAGGTTATATACAGTATATGGTAATGCACATTATGCACACTGGCTTTCCCTGAGAGTGTACATTCTCAATGACGCCTAGTTGATGTGTTATAACGGTTCGTGGTGCCGCGTGTCTTGTGGTTTACATTTGAAGATGACATTTTTTTTGAGTGTTTTTTTTTGTATTTTTTTTCCGACAATTTTTTTTTACGTTTTTTTTGTTTGTTGTTAGTTTTTCGCCGTTTTTTTTTTGTGTGTGCGCGTGTGTTTAATCACCGTTCAAAGATTACAACTCTGCGCGTGTGACCCGATATTTCTGGTTTTTTAAGTTTTTTCTCTATATATTATGTTGTTGTTGTTGTTGTCCGGCGCCGTGGCACACACATCATCGGCGTACGCCATCTCTCGGGAGGTAACATCTTTATTTTGTTTGTTACGCATTGCTGCTGTAAGCTTCAAGTCAGGCAAATGGAGATAGGAATTATTCTCTTTTCTTTTTAAAGCCTTCTATAATGTTAACAGGAGGTATTTTGCTTATTAAATCATCATCATCGTCGTCGTCGTCGTCATCGTCGTCATCATAATCATCATAATCGTCGTCGCCGCTGACGCACGCACATTTTGGTTTGTGTTATAAAGTCGATCAATCGACCGCGCCGTCGGTCGCGACCCCCATGGCGCTCGCCCGCTTTGCCCCCCGTGGAGACGGATCTTCGACGCGGACGCCACGCAACGCCCGCGGAGATTTGTGCCGGCGAGCGAGGGTGGGTGGTGGTGGGGAGGGGGGGGGCTGGGGGGGGGGGCTCCTACTACCCCCCCACACCCCTGCCCCCCTCCCCCCGGGAGGTAAACAGGAGCGAGAGAGAGCGAGAGAGAGAGTGAGAGCTTCGCGGCAGGAACGGCGTTTGCGATGCGGACGCGGGACCGCCGAACGGAACGCGGGAGAAGCGCGAATGAAACGAAGGTCGCTTTTCTGTCGCTTTTCCGTCGCTTTTCTGTCGCTCTCCTGTCGCTTTCCTGTCGCTTTCCTGTCGCGAGACAAGAGCGACGAGGCAGAGAGAACTTCTGCTGGGTGGGAGACCGTGCGAGGTCCCCTTTCATCGTCGCGTGTCCCGGTGCTGCTGCCGGCTGAGGTGGGCGGGGGGGGGAGGGGTACAAAGCGTGGTTCGCGCGCGCGCGCGGAAGGTCGCAAAACGACAAGTGAGAAGACGCGGAGGCGGACGGGAGGAATGACGAGGTGGCGGACGGGAGGAATGACGAGGTGGCGGGGGGGGGAGGCAGAACGAGGTGGACGAAGTTAAACGACAAGGGTGAAGCGTTGGACAGGCACGCGAACGCCGGCAGTCGGTTTTGAAAGAACCCCAAACGCGCAACGCAAAAAATAAAAACTTGTTGACGATAAGCGCGAAAGTACGCACCAACGCAGACGAAGAGGAACGATGAGGTGGCGAAGAAAGTAAGGAAACGATGAAACGGGAGTGGGGGACGTACACAGCGAAGGGAGCAGCAACGCGTGACACCCGCGGAGAGTTGAGAGAGATGCTCGTGGTGACAACAACGGCAGCAACAACCGTGGTGAGTGACGACGATGAGAACGATAAATTATGAAAAGCAGCGGCGAAGGAGAGGAGGAGAAAGTAATGAAGATGACGGCACAGACGAAAGGCCGAGCGACGATCGGCTTGGACCTCTCTGGGAAGTCGGGTGGGAGGGGGGGGTGGCGGTCGTGGTCAGAATTTGGCGGAACGATTCTCACTCCCTCTCGAGCGGAGCCCAGTGCCCGCGTGAAAATGTCAAAGGTCAAAAGCGTCGCTTTCGTCTTTGGTGGGGGCGGTGGAAATCAGCGCTGGAAATTCCACGGCCCCATGGCCGGGGGCCCGTATATATATCCAAAAACCAATCGCTGTCGACTTCCCGCGCAGGGCGGTTCTTTATTTCATTGACCCAAGCGAGTCACGATGGGCCGAGTTTGGGGGGTGGGGGGGGTGATTGAACTCGCGACCTCCAAAAACCGACGGGGCCGAGCGACTCCGGGCGAGGTGGAAGGAGAGCGGCGAGCGCTACCGAGGGACTGCACTGCCGCAGAGCGCCGGAGTCTCACCTCCACAGTCCTCTGAGATTTCGAAAAGATCAGAATTATCTTTGCGGTTCGAGCACGCCGTCCGTCGGAGTCACAGGCCGAGAGTCGTCATCATTATTGTCGTCGTCATTGTCGTCGTCGTCGCCGCGTTTATCAACATCACTCAAATACTGTGTTTCCGCGGACCGTTACCGCGCCCGAATCATTCGCGCGGAGCGATCCATTCACAGGTACCCCCGCCGACGCAAATCGGGAGATGCCGACGGGGAAAACCGTCACCCCCTCGCTCGAAGGCTCGACGCGTCTCCCATCGAACCTCAATATCCGCTTGCCAGAAATCTCCCGACGCTCGCCCGCCCTCCCCCCAATGATACGGAACCATCTCGCTTCCATGATATCCGTCGCAAAGAAAGTTGGGGGGGGGGGGGGGGTTCAGTGAAAAGGAAATCAGCGGGGTGTCTAGAAATGGATCGCCCAGTAGTGTTTCCCATGATCTACGCTTGGCGCCTTGCCACCATCATCGGCGTCATCGCCGCACGTCGTCGCGGTGCGGTAACGCCGCGTCACCACCACCATCGTCGTCGTCGTCATCATCGTGGTGCGGTAACGCAGTGTCACCACCACGACCATCGTCGTCATCATCGTGGTGTGGGTAACGCCGCGTCACCACCATCATCGTCGTCATCATCATCATCGCGGTGCGGTAACGCAGTGTCACCACCACCACCATCGTCGTCATCATCGTGGTGCGGTAACGCCGCGTCACCACCACCACCATCGTCGTCGTCGTCATCATCGCGGTGCGGTAACGCCGCGTCACCACCACCACCATCGTCGTCATAATTGTGGTGCGGTAACGCCGCGTCACCACCATCGTCGTCGTCATCATTGTGGTGCGGTAACGCCGCGTCACCACCATCATCGTCGTCGTCGTCATCATCATCGTGGTGCGGTAACGCCGCGACGCGGAGTGGCGGTAGCCCCGCGCGCCGCTCTCTCTCGTGCTCCCGCGGTGCTTCTCTCTCTCTGTGGTGTGCGACGTCGCGATTTTGAACCGGAGCGTAAGGAGAGCGACGGGCGGCTAACAATCCGCTGTGAAGTCACGACACACACCTGCACTTGTAAACAAAGCAGCGTGGTTAAGGTTTGCATCCTATGCAGGTAGGAGGACGGGTTTGGGTGCCGGGGTTTCGTTTTTTTGAGTTCGTTTCGTCACTTTTTGTCGTTTTTTTTTTTTTTTAAAACGATTCCGCTGCCTCGCGATTTATACGCCAAGAGGCCTGGTCCGGTTAGGGCCACGCTGTTTGCTCCAAATCCTCGCGCACGTTGAGCGGGCGGGCGGGCGGGCGAGCGAGCCAAACGAGCGAGCGGTGGTACGGAGATCGGCGTCCACCGCCCCCGTCATTGCCATCGTCGTCGTCATCATCATCATCATCGGAGGGGTCCGGACTTGCGCTCGGAAATCAGGAATGTCGCCTGGGCCCCGTGTCAGCATTAAACGTGATTTCAGTGCCAGAGGGGAGGAAGAACAAAAACAAAAACGTGGACAAAACAAAAACCAAGAAGAGGCAACGGCGGTGGACCGTCGTTACAGCGGCGTCGACGGCGGCGCCGCTTTGGCGCCGGCATTGGCGCCGTCAAGTTTGCTTCGCCGCGTCCCGGGAGAGATCGGCAACCAACAACAACAAAAAACATGAACCAAAAGTAAAAAATACTTTACCGGAGCGTGCAAGCTACGTGTGGGGGTATATATAACATTTATATATATGTATAGGCTTCAGAGTTGCTCCGCCAAACACCATCACCGGTGCGTCATCATTGATCTGTACATGTAAACAGTGAGTCTTCAGGTCGTCCCACACGCACGATCATCGCCCTCCTCCTCCTCCTCATCCTCGCAGCACGGCCGTCGCCCCCTGGCCGCTCCGACACGGCGGAGGGGGGGGGGGCCGAGGGGTCAAGGAAGGAACCCGGCTGCCGCCGATCGCCGCCAAACGCCGGCGTCAGCCGAAGCGCTCGCGCACCAGCAGCATGAGCTTCTTCTTGCCCTTGTACGTCTGTTTGAGGCCGTCGAGGAACTGCGCGAACTGCGCGTGGCCGTCGGGCGCCAGCAGGAACGCCTCCCGCGCCTTGCCCAGGAACTCGACGAACTCCCCGTAGTGGCGCGGCGAGATGTGCGTGAGCCGCGAGTGCGCCGTGCTCACGTACGCCGCCAGCGTCGCGTCCAGCAGCTGCCGCAGCGGGCCGCCCTTGTCCGCCGCCGCCGCGGCCGCCACCGACGCCGCCGCGGCCGCCGTCGACGACGCCGAAGCGCCGCCCCCGCCCGCCCCGCCGCCCCCGCCGCCGGACTTCCCCGCGGCCGACGCGGCCGCGGCGGCCGCGGCCGCGGCCGCCGCGGCCGCGGCCCGCCCCCGCATGGCGGCGCCGAGCCCCCCCCGGCGAGGGCAAGCCCGGGAGGCTGGCGGCGCAGCGGCGCAGGATGTCGGACAGCACGGTGGCGCACTGCACGCCCTTGACCACGAGCGGGATCATGGCGGCGAGCTCCTGCTTGCCCAGCGAGTGGCTGAGCGCGCAGGCCCACAGCACGTCGTTGATGGCCGGGTGCGTGTCCTGGTTGTACGCCAGGCTCAGCTGCGCCATGGCGAGGCTGGCGAGCTTGTAGGCGCGCAGCGGGTACCCGCGATGCTCCATGTAGCGTGCCACCGTGAAGAGCTGCGCGTGGCCCATGCCGGAGCCGCCGCCGCCGCCGCCGCCGCCGCCGGCGCCGCCGCCAATCCCCACGCCGATGCCGATGCCGCCGCCGCCGCCGCCCACGGAGCCGGCGCTGGCGGCGTCGAGGACGATCTGGTAGGCGGTCTCGAAGGCGACGGGGTCCTTCTCGCACAGCGTCAGCGCGGAGAGCGCGCAACTCTGCGGGTCCTTCATGGCGCACTGCAGCGCCAGCGTGCGGGCGCACTGCGCCAGCTCCTCGCGCTGACCATAGTCCAGGCTGAGGCGCAGCGCCGTGGGCGGCGAGAGCACGCTGGTGGCCACCAGGCTGGTGGCCTCCGTCGGGGTGAAGAGGGTGTACCAGCTCTGCATGATGCTCACCAGCGCGCACACGCCTGTACCCCCCCCCCCCCCCGCCGCCACCCCACCGGTGACAGAGAGAGAGGGAGAGAGAGCGAAGGTGGATAGGGAGGGACATCAGCACAGGGGAGACAAAGGCGGCCGTGCTGACCTCGCTAACTTAGCAACCCCAACTGTGCATCATCGCTGTACAATGACAGTGTAGTCATAATAACAATTTACAGCCCTTAGTCAATCCACTGATGGACGAGGGGCCTCCACACGGAGTGCCAGTCGAAAGGGGGGGGCGGGGGTCATTGTCTGACCGTTACCTTCACCCAGGCTGCTCCGTTGTGAATCGGTGACACAGCGACCCAGAAGCGGCCTGGCTGTCACTCCGCCACTGACGGGAAATGGAACTCAGGTGGCCGGTGTTCGTGACGTGAGTGCGTCGGCCCCGTGAAGGCGAAGCGGCACGTGGAGTGAGCTCGCCAAGCGGGGGAATCTCTCTAAGCGATTCCCCCGCCGCCAGCAATGGGAAACGACGGCTCGGGGGAGGCCTTCATCCCAGCACCGGGTAGATCCCGGTGATGGCATGGAGGCGGCGACAACGACGATTGGCAAGCGGGTTTGGCGAAGGACGAGGTGGGGGGGGGAACGGGGGGGGGGGGGCAGAACCGGCGACGCCGCAAAACTCACCGACTTCCGTGGCGCAAGTGACGAGCCATCGCACCATCTCCCTCCGGCGCCAGTTCAGCGTGGACAGCGTCATCCGCATCACCTGCACACGCGCGGCGTGGCGATCCCTGCGTCACGGGCGACTCACGAGTTTGGGCAGCATGGCCACAAGTCGCACCCCGCTGTGCCTCGGCTTTAATGTATCTCTGTGTATCTCTATGGGTCTCTACGCGTCTCTACGCGTTCACGATATGGTCTATAGTTCGGCTTGCATGGCCACAATGGCACCGCTGTGCCTTGGCTTTTGATCTCCACTGCGACCATATTCGGGTGCCGAGTGCTTTGGGCACTCGCCGATATCAAAGAGGCTCACAAGTGACCCTGACAGGGGCCGTTACAATCTTCTTGTTTCGTGCGGCTGCTGATGTAGATGCAGAGCAACAATTACGATTTCACATTCAGCCGGTCAAGCCAGACAACCCCGTCAGGAGCAGCGGAGTCGATCATCCCAGTGATGTCTCCTTAGTATTTGTTATATATGTTGTACTGTCGGTTCTGGATGATGACGGTCGCATACTGGAGAGTTGTCCAAATTTTTATTTTACCAGGTAACAATATTTATTTCGATTCACTCCAGCGCTGTCCTCCAGACAGTCTCGTCCCTTCACCTGATGAAGGCCACTTGTGTTGTGGCCGAAACGTCGTGAGAATATTATTGTGTTATTTTAATTTATCAATTTATTATTTTATTCTCATTCTACGTGACTTTACCGAAAGAACCAAAGAAGAACATTTTTTATGTTACCAGGTAAGGCCCACTGAGCTATTAGCTTCATATTCAGAAGCGACCTGGCCACGAACGATAGCTCAACAAAGTGGCTTATCATGTGGAAATCTAAATAAATGTTGCATAATGTCCCCCCCAAACCACCCGGCAATCTCAAAGCTGTGGGGGTGGAGGGGGTGACGGGGGTTGGTGGGTCACGGGGTGATGGGCGAGACCTGTAGGCCCAGTTCGAGTGCCACGTTGAGCAGCGTGATGTCAGGCAGCCCGTCGGCCGGAGTTCCGATCTTGAACGCGTCCTGAGCCAGCTTGAAGAGGTGGGACGACGAGTGGATGTGCTTCTGTATGGAGTCCAGCACGGCTCGCAGTCTTATCACGTCCCCTGCGGGCGGACGACGAGACGAGGAGAGGAAGGAGGGGGGAAAAAAAGAGGTGGTGAAATACGAAGGGCAAAAACTAGATCCAGGGGTCGGCAAACCTGCGGGTCCGGAGCCAACATTGCGGCTGTTTAGCTGCCCCCCCTTGCGGCTCTTGGCTGGCCCGCCCCCCCCCCCCCCCCTTGCGGGCAGCCGCTGAATGAAAAAACATATAAAAGCAAATCTTAAACGTAATTTAACGTAAAGCTAATTGATTAAATATGGCAGGGAACGGGGTCACTGTGGATGTCTTGGCGACGACAAAATCTACGACAGATTATTCCATCGCCTGCTTTGTTGATTTAAGTCAGATTGTGTTTGTCGTCAGCTGGTATGTTTTGTGTACAAGGAGCCCTGCTGCGTGTGATGCGGCTCTCATAACTAGATTGGTGAAAGACAAAAACAAATGGCTCTGCCTCTTATTCTTCTCTGAGAGGTTGCCGGACCCCCCTGGAACTTGACAAACTCTCCTCAAGCCTTCTCGTGGCTAGCAGACATCACTGGCGTCTCGGCTCGTGGACACACTGCCGCCGCTGTCATCATCCCGTGCGAGAGTGGAATATCCACTGCTGGATGAAGCCCCCCCCCCCCCCCCCACCCTCCGTGCCGCTGTCGCCAAAAGGAACTCGGGAAGGGAGCGAACGAAGTGGAAAAATAACAAAACCAAGGACAACAAATAAACCCCAATGCGTGGAACGCGTCTCGTAAAAGTGAATGCCAAACCAAGTGTGCTCGTGCATGCTTGGTTAGAGCGTGCGTGTGTGCGAGAGCGTGCGTCAGCGCATGTGTGTGCGTGCGTGCGAGCATCCGGGTTCCGCCAACCAAAATGACGGTCTGCCGGACGGTGAAAGTGGACGAGTGGCTTCCGAATCGCGCAACACAAAAAACCACGTGCCAACGGCGGTAAAAGGGGACAAAAATACCGCGTGATGGAAGGTGCCCCCCCCCCCCCCCCGCCGCTCCCCCCCCCCCCCCCACCAGTCCCCCCAAACCACCAGGACTGGAGCGTAACCCGTGAGCTCGCACGCCGCACCGGTCAACGCGCAACATGCCGCGAGGAAGCTAGTGCGTGCGTGCGTCCGTGTGTGTGCATGGTTCAGCGGTCAGCGCTACGCTGCACTACGAACCCACCATCGAGTTCGATTCCTGCTCACGGCCAACACCGGTGACGATTATCTGAATCGGTCCTGAGCCTCTCCCCTAGGTTGACTCAGCCTCAAATGAGTACCCGGTGCTGTGTCAACATTTTCATCAAGGAGACAAAGGCGGCCGGGCGTGGTGCTGGCCACCCACCCCCCCCCCCCCCCCCCCCCGTGTGCCGTGCCGGCCTTCAGAGGTGCTCACTAAGAGCACTTGCCCCAACAGTGTGCAAATGCCATATGGGGGATCTTCATCTTTGTGTGTGTGTATGTGTGCGTGCGCAGCGTGCGTCCGTCCGCGTGAGTGCGCGTGCGTGCGGGTTTGAGCTGCGGAGAGCGGGTGGGCACAGCGGGCTGGCGCGCTGTGCCAGTGTGTGTCGTAGCGATGCGAGGGTGTATCGTGCCCCAGTAAGTCTCCATTAAAAACGAATTTCCTTCGAACTGCTTTGTGTGTTTCAGTTCGTTGTCCTTCCCCCCCCCCGCCCCCGGACCCGGACCTCTGATCCGCACGGCGAAAGAAGTTCAACGCGCAGACGCGCAAGCGGCGCATGCCATACCGGCGGCTGCGCCGGTGCTGCGTGGGTGCCGTACCCTTGGCGGCGGTGAGCATGGTGGAGGCGAGCTCGCACTGCTGCGACTCAATGTGCGCCAGCGTGAACCAGCGCGGGTAGCGGTTGGGCACCACCGAAGGGATGTGGTACGGGTGAGACGCCTCGCCGGGGCCCGCCGATGACTCCAGCACCGGCAGCCTGAGGGGGCAGCGCCACAGCGTTACCGCGGCGATCGTGGTGGTGATGACGACGCTGGCGGTGACGGCAGTAGTGGTGGTGGTGGTGGTGGTGCAAAGGTTGGCGCACTGCGCTGGAAACCAGTGTTACCCGATTTAGAAACCCGCGCTCGCTCTACACCAGTGATGATTACCTGAACCGGTCGTGGGCCTCCCCTAGGTCGATTCAGCCTTAAATGAGTACCTGGTGCGATGTGTGAACATCGCCACGAGGGAGACAAAGGCGGTCGGGGGTGTGGTGCTGGCCACCCACCCCCTCGTGTGCCGTGCCGGCCTTCACAGATGCTCGCTAACAGCACTTGCCCCAAAAGTCTGTTAAGGCTATACGGGGGGCCTTTGTCTTTGGTGGTGGTGATGATGGTGGTGGTAGTGGTGTTTGGAATGTTGGTCATAGTCGTGATGGTGGCAATGTTCGCGGTGGCGGTGGTGGTGATGACGTTTGCGGTGATGGTGTCGATGTCAGCGGCGATTGTGTTTTGACGCTTGTGGCAATGTTTTGGCGACGTTGGCGCCGTCGGCGGTCGCTGCGTTCGACGGCGGTGGCGGCGGCGAACTTTGCTGACGTTCCCGGCGGCGTCTCACCGCATGGCGCGCAGGGCGACGCGGTAGGTGAGCTCCGAGTCGTGCGGCAGCAGCGCGGTGAAGAGGAACTTGGCGAAGGTGTGCATGGGCACGCTCTCGCGGTGCACCACCTCGCCCAGCCCGCTGTACGGCCCGCCTGCTCGCGCACGCGGTCGTCGCCAAAACGCCATCGTCAGCGTCGTCATCGTCGGTTTCCGACATCGTCGTGGACAACATCATCGTTGTCGTCGTCGTCGTCATCGTCGCTATCATCGTTACTGATAGCACAACAGATATCGTAATCATACGGAGGTGGTCACTGTCATTACCATGGGGTATCGTCGTCGTTGGCAACGCTGTCATCACTCATGATCATCATCACCGACGTCCGCATAATCATCATCGGCACCGTCATTGCCAGCAATATCATCAACACTCCTGACATCTTCGCCATCATCATTGTCATCGTCGTCGCCGTCGAACAATCAACATCATCAACGTCATCAACAATGACGTCGTCGTCGTCATCATCATCATCACTCCGTGGGACGAGGGCTGTGACTGTGGGCAGCACGAACCCTGCAGCAGCAGCGTGGCCTGGCGGCGAAGCACGCCGATGAGCGCCGGCGTGAGCTGCAGGTCGCCCAGTCGAGCCAGCAGCTGCTCCTCCTGCCGCCCCACCTGCACGGGGTCAGGGGAAGCGTGAGGTGAGCGGGCGGCAAACTACAAGTCCTAGGCCAGGGGCGGGAATTTTAAGGGTCAGCAATCTTGTAACGTTGGCGAGGTGTAGTTCAAGGGTCATTAGGCTGGAGATGTGATGTCAGGGGTGGTACGCGAGTGAGCGGTGAACGAGACTTCAAGAGCAGTGACCGACCACCGCTCTCGCTGGGCTCTCGCCAGGTCTAAAAAAACATATTTCAGTCTATCCGGAAAGCCAATCATCACATGCGGTCACCAAGTAACACAAAACGATTCTCCGAAGGGTCAGGGGTCTCTCAACACACACGCGCTCATAACCTACACCTCGTCGTTCATCGTCACACTATGCGGCAGAGACACACTGCCGGGAAGAACACCGAGCAACCAGGAGCCATGGGGGCAGCAGCAGCAGCTGCAGCAGCAGTGGATGCAGGAGGGCAGCAATAGACCCAAGAGGAGGGCAGTGGGGGGTTGGCCAACAAGAGACAGCAGGAGATACTGAAGGGGGTAAGGAGACACAGGGGGGCAAGTAGCAGAGGGCAACAGCAGACGGATGAGTAGGGTGGCAGCAGTGGCGGCAGCGCCCCACCTTCTCCTGGGCGTAGAGGCCCTCGGGCATCGTCCTCTGCTGGCCGAGGCCGAGCAGGGCCACCTCGACGGCCAGTGCGAGGCACGAGTCGGGCGACACGCCGCCCACGCCCTCCCACCAGGGCCACGCGTCCGAGCCCGCGGCCGCGGCGGCCGACAGCGGCAGGGACGGGCCCGAGGAGGGCGGTGGGGGGCCGAAGAATCCGCTCACCCCCTCCCAGGGGCACGCAGGCTCCGAGGGGTCCCCGCCGTGCAGGCCGTCGATCCCCTTGGGGTCCCCACCCAGGGGGTCTGCGGACGGACGGAGGGGCGGGAGTGATCGTTGGCGTCGCCGGTTGGCGTCTGTCGCCGGTTGTCGTCTGTCGCCTGTCTGGGGTTCGAGGTCTCTGCCGCGTGCGTCCGGTTGTGAGACATTGCGCGCGGGTGGAGGCATGGGGGGTGCGATTATCATCGTCGTGATCGTCATCGCCGTCGCAGTCATTATCTTTTGTCTGAATTAATTAAAATCGCTGTCATGCGACCATCAACAAACGTCAGATATACAGATATCGTAGATGGAATTTAGGCAGCAGCGGCAGTGTCGGTGTCGGTGGTTGTGACAGTGTTGGTGACAATGGTGGTGGTGTTAATGAAAGTTGTGGTGGTGACTGGGTTGGCGAGCTCGCACGCCGCACCGGTCAACGCGTGACATGCCGCGGACATCCCGCTTGGAGAGGAAGCTGGTGCATGCGTGCGTGTGTGTGTCTGTGTGTGTGCATAGTTCAGCGGTTAGCGCGCTACGCTACGAACCCGGCTGCCCGAGTTCGATCCGTGCTCATGGCCAACACAAGTGACGACTATCTGAACCGGTCCTGGGCTTCCCCTAGGTCGGACCCAGCCTCAAAATGAGTACCTGGTGCCGCGTGTAAAAAGTGGCCCTGGCCACTCAACCCTTCGTGTGCCATTCCGGCCTTCACAGGCGCTCGCTGAAAGCACTTGCCTCCAAAAGTCTGTTAAGGCTATACGGGGGGGGGGCGGGGGGGGCGTCTTTGTCTTTGGTGGTGACAGTGTTGGTGAAATGGTGGTGGCGGTGTTAGTAATGGTAGTGGTGACGGTGATGATGGCGGTGTTGGCAGCAACGGCGCTGTTGGTGGTGGCGATGGAGCGGTGTGGCTGTCCCCTGGGGTAGGGGTTGGGTGGGGTGATGAAGGGGGAGCACGGGGGGGGTGGGGTGAATGGGGAGGGCCGGCGCTGACCGCTCGTCTTGGACGCGCTGCTGTGCGACGAGCCGACGGCTCCCTCGGTGAGCGTGGTGAAGAGGCAGCCGATGGGATCGAGGGGATGTCCCACCCACCCCTCCACGCTCGTCACGGACGTCGTGCCCTTCTGCAGGATCTCTGCGGGGAGGGAGCGGCGAGCGGGGTTGGTGGGGCGTGGTGCGATCACGAGGTGATGTCACCGCCACTCAGAATCAGAATATTTATTTATACTGGAGGAGGAATCCGATAAGTTATAAAGCTCTTTTTCAGATGTCCAGTCGGGGCAGATCAGAAATTTACAACAAACAGTACAAAAGTACGATAGCAGTGCAAAGTATAGGAAAGGCAAACAAAAAACACACAAACACAACTAAAATGATTTTTTTACCAGGTAAGGCCCACTGAGCTATTGGCTTGTTTTTCAGAAGGGACCTGGCCAAAGATGATGGCTGAACAAAGTGGTTTATAATGTGGAAATTTATAGCAGAAGCCAAATAATACAATCTAAATGCATTTTTCAGTGGGCAGACGGTGGCTGTCGCTGCTGCTGCTGCTGCTGCCGCTGTTGTTACTGCTGCTGTTACTGCTGCTGCCACTGACGCGTGTGGACACGTCAGCGGGCAGGCCCACCTTTCTCCTGCCGCCTGTACAGCTTGTGCTGGCGCTGCTGCTGCAAGCGCAGCGTGCTGACGATGGCGACGGCGAGACGCAGCGCCTCCTTGGGGTAGCCGTGCGAGCGCAGCGCGTCCACGCGGGCACACGCCGTGGGCACGTGCTCTACTCCGCGGGGGGGGGGGGCGGGGGGGGGGGTGGAGGGAACATGGAGAAACAAGGTGGGGAGGGGGGGACACACGGGGAAACACAGGGGGAGGGAACACGGGAGGGTGATTGGGAGACACAGGGGTCACACGGGGGTTTCGTGGAGAGACAGGGGCGTGAAAAGGGGACACGGGGGAGGGAGGAAATGCCGGGTTAAAGTGATGACAGAACGCTGTGTGGATTTGTACACTGTGTACATGTGACAGCATCTGAAGTCATAGAGAGGTGGTTTTATAGACAGTAAATCATAGGTCTCTGTGCGAGTCAACAGGTCCCTATGAGGGTCTAGGGGTCTGTGTGAGTCTACGGGTCTTAGGCAGAGGAGGAAGGCATCGAGTCTGGGGCAGGGAGATGACAGCACTGACTAAAAATCCCATTCCACAGTCGGCGAGCAGGACCGCCGCCTCACCGTTCCACAGGGGTCGTCCTCGGGGGTCAAAGAGGGGGTCGTCGGCGTGGCGACAGTTGCCGTGGTAACCGGGGTTGCCCAGGATGCGCTGGAGGTGGCCGTCCTGCCAGTGCAGGCCGCACGCGTCCACCGCTCGCGAGAACACTGTCCTCCGGCCCCTGGACAAGGGGTCTGCGCAGGGGGGGGGGGGGGCGAGGGGTCAAGAGGTCATCAAGAGGTCAAGTGGTCAGCGCAAACAGCAAAGTTTCACCGATGATGTCTCGTAGTGTGTCACGTCGCTGATGAGATGCCGGGAAAATCGAACCGAGGGCTTCATCCAGCAGTGGATCAATCTTTTTTTTTTGGTTTTTAAATCAGGGTCAGTGACTGCAAGCACAAAAGTTGAAAACGCCAAACGCCAAGCAACCAACAGCACCACTGAAGTTGAATATATACATGATGTATACACGTTCCTTGAACTGAGCAAGGTTATGGAAACTTGGGGAAAAAAAGAGAAGAGGCTGGGAGGAAGGAATTCCAAAGCGGAGCAGAGGGAAGAAGACGAAAGACAGCTGTTGTGACCTACAGTGTGGTGAGTTACTGAGCGAGTGGGTAAGTGGGTAGGTGAGTGAGTGGGTGAGGGAGTGGTTAAGTGAGTCAGTCAGTCACAACCCATGGCACCTGGGTCTGTCCCGTGACCCTCTGCCAGTCGGCGTTCAACACTTCACGCGGTCTTAAAAGTGCACATAGCCTGGCACAAGCGCTGTGGTGACGTGACCGCAACTTAGTGGCGGATGGCGGTTGTTGTTGTTGAGTGTTTAAGCGAGTGTGTGGGTGGGTGGGTGGGTGAGTGGGTGGGTGAGTGAATGGGTGGATGAGTAGGCGAGTGTGGTCGATGAACACGGTGCAGACGAGACGATACAGAAAAGAGTGATATCCATCCGGACAAACGTCCAGACAGACGGACGAACTGACGATGCTGACCGCACCTCGGCTGTGGTGCGAGGGCGACACGCTGGGCAGGTCGCCGACGCCGCTACCGTCCTCCAGGGGACACACATCCACCTCGTGCCAACGCCGCAACAGCCGCAGCCAACCGGACTTCTCCTGCAGGCGGCAGTGCGGGTTCAGCACCACGCACGTCCACAGGGCGCCTGCGGCACAGGGGTCGGGAGGGAGGGAGGGAGGGAGGGTGGGGGGGGGAGGAGGTCACGGTCAGTTGGTCAATGTGTCGGAAGGTCAGCGCCCAGAGAAAGGGTGTCACGATCATGAACGCGATGATTCGTCGATTCTTGGGGGGGGCAGGCCGGAGTGGGTCAGGGCGCCGAGAACCTGGCACGCGGGTCACACGTGAAGAGACACAGACGGACGGACCGGGGTCAGGTTGTCTGGATTTGGCACGTAATCATGTATCGATCCAAATAGGATGCCACGGTGACGAGATGTTAACTACCTCTCCTGGTGTACAGGAGGATGTGGGTTTGATCCCGACCCTTGTATATTTGGAGTTTGCGTGTCTCTCTCCCCGTGGTCACGTGGATTTTTTTCCCACAAAATTAAAAAAATCAACGTGTGTTAAATATTTCCACGTGATAAGCCACTTCCTTGAGCAATCATTTGTGGCCAGGTTGCTTCTGAAAGAGAGCTGTAGTACAGCTCAGTGGGCCTTACCCGGTAAAATAAAGAGTTTTAATAGTTTTTAAATATTTTCTTCGAGTAGCCACGTGGGGATCATAGTTCAGGGTGCAGAGCCGGCAGCCGCTGAGATCTTGGGTTGGGGGGCGGAATGGTCAGAGGTCAGGGGGTCAAGAGGCAGGGGTCAAGGGAAAGCGAGTGAGGGTCGGCTCGGGCCGCGTGACGACTCCTCGAGATTTGCTTGTAGCCAGGTCGGAGCGTGTCGGCAACCACCAACCGAGTAAATAATAATAATGACAATAACGACGATGGCGACCACATAGTCCACCGCACCACTTCCCGGCACAGCGAATCGTTGCTTCACTCAGCTCGCAAACTGCAAACCATTAAAACCGGGTGGCCCGGGAAGTTCAGCCGTGTACTTCAACGGGTGGTGGGGGGCAGTGGGGGGGGGCTGTGGAGGGGTTGGGGGGGGGTGGGGTGGGGAGTGGGAGGTGGGAGGGTGGGAGGATGGGAGGGCTGTGTGGGGAGGGTGGCGGAGTGGGCGGTAGGAGGGTGGGGGGCCGTGTAGGGTGGGTAAGGGGTGGTGAGTGGGAGGGTAGGAGGGTAGGAGGGTGGGAGGGTGGGAGGGTAGGAGGGTGGGAGGGTGGGAGGGTAGGAGGGTGGGAGGGTGGGAGGGTAGGAGGGTGGGGGAGCCGTGTGGGGTGGGGGGGGGGGCGTTCAACAGCAAATGTCAGAGGGCTGCGCCGGACGCCACGGTAGTCGAGATCAGACCCCATGAAACCGTCATCCATCTCGGGGCCGGGGTTTAAAAATAAAGAAAAACCACAACGCCGACAACATTTCTCGATCGAGCAGAGAGGATTAAAAAAAAAATCAAATCCCTTCCCGGACGCCCGGCGATAGTTGTCTGGCGGATGAGCAGGGCGAGACGAGGGAGGAGGTGGTGGCAGGGGGTGGAGGGGGGGGGGGTACGGGCGGCATCAACGTCCTCAGTGGTTGGCTCGGGGTAGAGAGAGGGTGGGGGGGGGGCAGGGGAGGCGGGAGGGGGGCAAGCGCTGCTTGTCAGGTTCAGCGTTCTAATTAAACGGATGGATAACGAGGGGGTGGGCGGTGGGCGGTGGGCGGTGGGCGGGGGTCCTCTCTCCACTGCCCGATTCAAATCGCATTGATCGACGGTGCCAGTCGCACGGCCCTCGCATCCGTGCCGCTCCGTTCCGGGCGCTCCGGACGCACGTCCGGAACGGGGGGCGGCTGAGGGAGCGGAGGGGGAGTTGGCAGAGTAGGGGGGCAAAGCTGGTGAACCTGCGAGTCATCTCAATAAGTCAACTCGTGGCACCTGCCGGGGTCTGTCCCGTGACCTGCTGCCAGAGAGCCTTCGACACTTCACGTGGTAGCCTCAAAGTGCACCTAGCCTGGCACAGGCGCCGTGGTGATGTCACCGTCACTTCGTGGCGAATGGAGGATATTGGTATTAGAGCTAAACACTCCGCAACCACGCCTCCCCCCCGCACTGACAGACACACACACGCACGAGACATAGATCCCGCCCCCCCATTATAACCTCACGGACCGTCAGGGTGAGTGCTTAGCGAGTGCCTATTAAGCACGGCCGAGGAAAGCTGCGTAGGAGCATTCGGAGGTCGTTCGATTAATTTGAATTTTTTTTCTTTTCTAAGAAGTGGCGGTAGAGCCGAGCCCGGCCTCAAGAGATTTGCCGACCGACCGCTCTGTCAAAACACTGAACGGCGGTGGGGGGGGGGGAGGGGGGGGAACAGAGCCGAGATTATTTAGATTTGAAACGTCGTTTCAAGATTTTTTTTGACGCGTCAAAGATTTTGCGGCGTTATTTATTCATTTGGATGGCGGGGGGGGGGGGGTGGGGGGGGCGGGGGAAAAGAGCCGACGCATTTAAATTTGCAAGGCCGCCCATTAACCCGGACCCTCGCACGTCATCAAGAAATCCGACAAGGTCAGTCACTTTGAAACGCAACGCATTTGCTGCGGCGGCTTCCTGACGGTTCATGGACTTAACCCGGCGAAGCTTCCGAACGTCGCGCAGAAGCACGGGGCACGTGATCGCCGCGTTGCGATGGGGGGGGGGGGGGGGTGGGTGGTGGTGGCAGCGTGGCGAGTGAGCGAGCGAGCTGGACTTGCGATCCAGAGGATCGCCGGTTCGACTCCATCTCCCTGTGACGCGGCGGATGAAACCGTGGGGGAAGTTTGTCTAAATCGGTGCCCGCCACCACAGTCGGCCCATGATCGGCGGGTCGCGTGGCGACCGCGCAAGCTTGGGGGGCATCTCTCCCGCCTCTTGCAAAGGCGGACCGGCACCAGAATCAGAATATTTATTTACGCTGGAGGAATCCGACCCGCCAGTAGTGGCAGGTGACACCCGCGTGGAAGACGAGGCCGAAACAATCCCCTGCGGAGGGCACCTCCTCCTCTGGAGTGCGACGCCACTCAGAGACCGACGCGGTCCATCCGTCCCAACCGCTGCACTGCCCCTTGCAGACTCTCCGAGCAAGGCAGAGGCTCGCGAAACACCGCCGGGACGTGACGCGGCGATTCGCATCGCCGCGCGCTGGCTGCCGGTTCCCGTTTGTTTATCTCGCGGTAGGCACATATTTATTTATTTATTTCTTGAGAGCGAATGGGGGGGGGGGGGGGGGGGAGGGGGCAGTGTTTCGTTGGCAATTTTCCGGAGGCCTCTTTTGGAAATGAGATGTCAATCTCGGCAACGCCGTCCGGGCTGAAATTTGAATTCGCCAAATTAATACGGAGCAATTGCTATGCAAAGACTTTTTCCCGCTGTACGTGGCAGTCTCCCCCCCCCCCCCGCGCCTTCCCCCTCTCTCGCGCTCTCTCTCCGCGTGATGTTTACTAACCGTTGTGGACACGCGCAATGAAAGGAGCCTAAATTATAATTTTCAACCTTTCTTGCTGCTCTCCCCGTAACCTTTCTGCAATGGATGCGTCAGGACTCCCGATACTTAACCCTTTCCATGAACTTCAGAACGGAGGTGTCAAATACTTCCGGCTCACGATGATGCATCGCTCGCCACCCCCCACCCCCCCCCACCACCACCACCAATGTTGTACTGCACTCGCCACGCTCCCAACGCGTTCGCTCTCCCCGCGCCCCCACCGGTCGGGACTGCCCCAGCATGGTGACGCCCCAATCATCCAGCAGTGGATCAGCATGCCATGACGCAGCACTGCCACCTACTGCGGGGACCGGAGGGAGAGGACTTGAAGCGAGGGATCTCGGAAGTAGCTCCGTCATATCCGCCTCCGTTCGGGAACTCCGCGGGAGATCTCTCGCGGAGATCCCCAACGGATGCTTCGTCTCGCCACGCGGCGCCGGCGGACGGCGATATCGGAATAAAATTGGGGATAAATTACTAAATATTCGTGTGTGTACATATAACGGTGGCGCGCGGCCGCGGCCAAGGTCGCGAAGAAGGGCGGACGGGAGCCGCCGGTTCTGCCAGTGGCGTCCAAAGGGCCTCGCGCGATTCACGAGCAATCAATTTGCTGCTCCAACGCACCCGCCCCTCCCACGATGGCCGCTGGCCGGAGTTGACCGGTCAACACATATCCGAGCGGCTCCCTGGTCCAGCGGTCACAACAGGCTTGCCGACCGCCCGCCTGTCGCAAGCTCGATTCCCTGTTAAAGGCTGTGTGTTGTGGTTAATTTTTGCAGTGGATTAATTTAATCAACAACCTTTTGTGGGTCAATTCCTCAGGGCCCGCTTTAAACATCACGCCCGCGCCCGAATCCTGCCTCCCCCCTACAAGGCACGCCCGGCGCGATGTAAGTACGTCTGTCTGTTGAACTTCTTTCGCACCATACGGAGAGCCAATCGGAGCTGCGGCCGATGATGTCGATGATGTCATCAAATTCCGCCCCATCACCTCCCGTCCAGCGGCGCACGCGGGTACAGAGTTGAGACTATTTTCCTGTTATCCGATTAGTCGAGCGATGGAACCGACTATCCGCTGAATAGGAATCGATCGCTAAAGTAACCGGATTACATTCGGTGGTGGGTTGGTGAGGGGGGGGGGGGGGTAAGGGTGGCGGTAGCGGCGTCTGCCGCAGGGCGGACGGCACAAAGGGCGATCGAGATGTGGCGAGTCCGGTGCTCGGCTGCAGGTCAAAACGAAAGTGGCAATCCAACGGACGCAACATCGCGAGCCGGAGAAACAGGCATTAACCGGGCGAGGACCCGGGCGGGGGAGGGGGGGGGGGGGATAGCGGCTGCCCGGTAAATGGTCAGGCGCGGCGGCGGCGTCTCACCAAGCTCGTCCCACAGTTGCCGGCACTTGTCCGTCATGGTCGTCCCCTGCTGCCGCCACAGCCCCAGCCGCGGGTCGGCCATGAACTGCTCCGTGATGAGCGTCAGCATTCTCGCCCCGTTCGAGTCCCGCATCTTCAGCATCTCCCGCACCTTGCGGGCAGAGGAGGGTGAGCGGAGGGGGTCGAGGGAGAGCGAGTGAGAGGACAAGCAAGGGGAGCGAGAGAAGAAAAAAATATTTTAAATGTCAAAAAACGGTTCCGGTGGGTCACACAATTGTTGTTTTTAAAAATTTTATTTTGAGGTTAGATCATCGTGCAGCGTACAATGTCAACATGCTACTGGAACCCTCCAACCGCCGGCGACGGGGTTAACCAAGAAAAGTTGTCACATGGCGGGCGAACGCGAAAAACAGATTTGGTTTAGCGGCGCAACCAGCGGAAGAGGAGGAGAGGAATGTTGAAAGGCAAGCGAGATGTTGAGGGTAGGCAAATTGTCTAGATCACTCTTCGGTTTTTTCGGTAAAGTCACGTAGAAATAATAAAAAATAAAATTTTATAATAGCATACGACGTTTCGATCGCAACACAAGCAATCATCATCAGGTAGAGGAAACACATAACTGCAGATATATATACAGACCTTAAGTAGGGGGAATTAACACAGATATACCAGGGGATACAGAGAGACGGAACATCACACTAAATCAAACAGGGTTTAGCAAAATTTGGAAACTACCTATGGTTGTCTGCCTGGGGACCTCTAAGTGTGCGCTGCTGCGCCCACTCTCTGTGTGTGCCTGACAACTGTGTGCCTGACAACTTATATCATGCAAATTTGTGTCCCATTGTCTATGAGCCTGAGCCCTCCTACATCGCTGGCCTTCTTAAAGCCTCGGGACAGATTTACTTTACTCCTTAACTGTGCGCGTGTCTCCCCCCCAAAGGTCTCTCTACGGTAAGTATTCTATCACTATCTTAAATTTCACACTTAACAATTTAACAATCTTTGAAACAGCGTATTCAACCAAACCATGCGTTGTGTTTTAACCGACCGTTTGTCTTGCTTTATATAGTTTCTAAATTTTGCTAAACCCTGTTTGATTTAGTGTGATGTTCCGTCTCTCTGTATGCCCTGGTATATCTGTGTTAATTCCCCCTACTTAAGGTCTGTATATATATCTGCGGTTATGTGTTTCCTCTACCTGATGATGATTGCTTGTGTTGCGATCGAAACGTCGTATGCTATTATATAATTTTATTTTTTATTTCTTCCGAAACCAAAGAGTAATTCCTGCAGTCACGAAAGCGCCTAATCAAGTTAAATTGTCTAGATATTTGGCGACACCGACGTATGAAATGAGACTCGTTGAGAATGCCCTCCGGTCGAACACTCGCGTTAACTCCCCCGAGAGAGAAACCAAACGATGAGCAGCGGGGGAGCGGATGAGCGCTGCAAATCCCTCGATATGGACAGCCGGACAGACGAATGTAGGGATGGAGCAACGGACAGTCAGACGGACGGAGGGAAGAACAACTAGGAGGGAGCGAGGGAGGAACGCACGCACGCACGCACCTTGGCGAACATGGAGTTGAGCTGCTTGCCGGAGCCGTAGTAACCGCCCTGTGACAGGAACTGCTTCACCTGCTCCTGCACCTGCTCCTCGTCCAGGTGCCAGCAGTTCACGTCGTCCACGCTCGCGCCCGCCGTGGGGTCCGGAGCGCCTGGAGCAACCACGCGGGGGGAGACCACTACGTCAAAACGTGAACACGCAAAACCGCCGCGTGAGAGCACAACCGTGTGCCCGTGCCGGCTACGAAAATACAACTGGTCTCCCCGAACGCGGGAGAGCGGGGTTCGGTTTTCCTGGCCACAAGCACCCTGGCCAGCCGCGTTGACCGATACGATTGTTTACGCCGAAACTGCCAGCGTCCCACCATATCAACCCGGCAAACCCTGTTTCACCCATCTGGCATCACTACCGGGGTCCCACCATGCACCCAAGAAAATAGCCGTATCGCCGATCTGGAATCAATGGTCTGGCATCACTACCAACATCTCCCTCTGTATCCGGCAAGTCTGTATCACCATTCCGGATTCACCAATTTGGCATCGCTACCAGCGTCCCACCATGCATCCAGTCCATCTGTATCGCCGATTCAGCGCCAATGATCTAGCGTCTCACCTTGCATCCGGTTATCGCAGATAATGACCCAGGCATCGCCGATCCAACAATGCGAGCAGCATCTCACCGCATACCCGGTTAACGCCCCATCACCAATCCAGCATCGCCGGCCAACACGTCACCGCCCACATCGCCGAACCCGGCAAACGCATCCCGAATCTCGCCGCTCAACCCGATTCCGCCGATGCCGGCGCTCCCCCGCCACCCCGGTCCCCCCACGCCGCGCCCACCGCCCCCGACGGCTCTCACCGTGCAGCTGGTTGATCTCGGAGTCAGCCGAGAGGATCTCGTCGGCGAGCCTCTGCGCTGTGGGCAGCACCTCGGTGTGGTGCGCCGCTATCAGGTACTGGCAAAGCTTCTGGAGCTGGTCGCGGCTCAGCTGCGACAGCGTCTCCGAGATGGGCAGGCGCAGGCGGACGCGCTCGGCGCGCCGGATGCGGTAGAGCGAGAGCGCGGCGACGTGGGCGCAGTAGACGATGTCGCGCTCGCCGCAGCCGCAGCACACAGACGTGATCTTGCAGCGGTCGAAGCTGATGGCGACGCTGTAAACGCGCTCCGGCTCCGACTGCGACGCCGGTTCCGTCACCGTGCCGCTCAGGTGGAAGCCTGGCGAGAGAGAAGGGGAGTGGGGGGTGGGGGGGGGCCACAGGGTTTATTGTTTCATTGAATTTATTTTCGTCTGCGAAATATATGTTGAACCTGGAAAAATCGATTGCGACGGAACATCCCGTTCGCAAAGAGCGTCTCCGGGTACTCTGGCTTCCTCCCACACGCCAAAAACAACAGCAGCGACATGGACAGCCGCAGTCCGTCACCATGGGAGCAGACGCCAGGCTGTGTGCACCTTGCATGCACACACATGCGTATGTACACGCACACTCACTTACCAACCCACCAGTACCCCCCGCCCCGTATAGCCTTAATGGATTTATTTTGCAAGTGCTGTTAGCGAGCGCCTATGAAGGCCGGAACAGCACACGAAGCGGTGGGTTGCCAGCACCACGCCCGCTCACCTCTGTCTCCCAAGTGGCGATGTTCACACGCCGCAACCAGGTGCTCATTTGAGACTGAGTCGACCTAGATGGAGACCCAGGACCGGTTCAGTTAATCGTGAGCAGTGTTGGCCGCGAGCGGGAATCAAACCCGGGCCACCGGGTTCACAGCACAGCGTGCTAACCGCTGCGCCACCGCTCCCTGGTGACCCTGCACCAACCCGCACCGACCAGCCAAGTGCAGATAAAATAATCCCCCATGACCCATAGCGTTAGAAGGCCCTCATCCAGCAGTGGAGTGACCAAAGGACCGGACTTGCATGTGGAAAGCAAGAGGTGGCTAAGGGGGGTCAGAGACGCTGAGCCCGGGACCAACGACAGCCTGGGTTTGACTCCGGGTTTCAACCGCAGCCGATTCAACCGATTTACATGCAGAACTGAGAGAGAGATGAGATTTAATGTAGAGACCCATAGAATTACATCCGGAGCAATGCATAGAAACCCGTAGACTCACACAGTCCCATTAACTCACATGAAGACCCATTAGACTTCACAGCAACCCGTAATACTTATGTAGACGCTCGCAGACTTCCACGGCGTAGTGAGTTGATGGCCTCACCTTGGTTAGCAAAATTTGGCTTTCTCGCTTCATTTGGCTAAATTCCAGCTCTGGGAATTGAAATGTTTGGTTTGATGGACAGGTGACGAACACTATGATCGGAGCATATCCACTGCATACGGTGTGACCTCCAAATGTGGATAACAAAGAGGCCAAGTTAATTGAGCTCTGACGTCACGCGACAGGTGCGGGGACTGTTTGACCATACTTCACCACGCTGGTCGGTGCGAGTTGGTTAAAGTGGGGGGTTCAGTGGCAGGGGGGGTTGCCCAGGAAACGGTTCCGTGACCACGCGCAAGCGACGTTAGCCGTGACCGGGAATCCAACTCAGGTCCCTCCAGGTTATTGACAGCGCGCTCACCACTGGCAGCCACCGCGCTTGACCCGGCGTTTGTTGTTTGTTGTTGTGCGACACAGGATGGTGCACTGCTCGTTGGGAAGAGTTCCCGGCCGGAAGTCTCTTTTGTCTTGCGGCTTGACACCACCGATCCCGAGTGAATGACCGCTCGGTTGAATTTGTTTTTATATATACAGAAAGTAAAATAAACGGACGGCGACATTAAATCGCGACGTCAACCAAAAAAAAACCTTTAAAAGAAACACACACGCTGCAAAGACAAAGATTCCCCGTATAGCCTAAACATATCGTTGGGGCAAGCACTGTTAGCGAGCAGCACCCATGAAGGCCGGCAAGGCTCACGAGGGAGTGGGTGGCCAGCACCACCCCCGCCGGCCTTTGTCTCCCCAGCAGCGATGTTTACACACCGCACCAGGCACTCATTTGAGGTTGAGTCGACATAGGGGAGGCCCACGACCGGTTCAGATAATCGTCACCGGTGTTGGCCGTGAGCGGGAATCGAACTCGGGTCGCTGGATTCATAGCGCAGCGTAGCGCTAACCGCTACATTGCCGCTCGCGCACAAAAACACGCGCGATGGCGACGCGGGTATAAAATAAAAAATACATACCAAGCAAATGTCACATTTTTAACCGTCGTGGAGATCGGCCACTTAACACGCGCGGCCTTAAAAGCAGAACACAAAGAGGACGGCTCCATGACACCGATAGTGCATTCACGCCAAACAAAAAGCCAGCGCCGGGTGGTAGTACCGGCGGTGCCGGCGGCGGCAATGGTGGCGCGGCAGCGTCGGCAAAGAGACACCGAACCGCAGTCGGCGGTGACCCTGAGAAAGCTATTATTTTACATTTCCAAAATCGCCCGTCCGTGTTGTTCACTTTGTGCCAGTAATTAAGAGGCATTAGCTAAGAGGCTTACATTTAATGCGTACGCTGGCGGATTTCACATTTTGTTATTTATTTATTGTCCTTCTCGTCTGCGTGCTTGCGCTTTAAACAAAGGCATCCTCGCGTGGTTCGTCTGTTCTGTCAGAGCGAGGCGGCGAGTGCCGGGGGAGGAGGGGGCACACAATACCGTCTGGGAGAAGCTATCGGTCGATAAGGTGGCCCTGAGTGACATGGGTGGCCTTTGGTGGCCTGGCTGGCCTGGGGTGGCCTGGGGTGGCTTGGCTGCCCTGGCTGGCCTGGGATGGCCTCGGTTGGTCAAGGTTGGCTTGGCAGATCTGGCTGGCCCGGCTGGCCCAGCTGGCCTGGGTGGCTCGAGTGGCTCGGGTGGCCCTGGGTGGCCCTGGGAGCCTGCCGCTCGGCTTGGGTTGTGCGATCGTAGGGTCGTGCGTGAAGCTCGTTACGTTCCACCGCTCTTCTATTGCGTCGTGAACGGTCCCTCCGGGTCGCAGGCACCGTGGCGATCAAACAATTAAACTCGACGATGACGATCGCGCGTGAGCGAGGATCGATCCCGACACATTCGCACCACTGCGAACTCCTAAAAGAATACGATGAAAGTACAGCCGGTGGATTAACTCCAACTCTATACCGGTGTTATCAATTGCCACGCATTCCGTACATTTTTAATACAACGGATTCGATAGATTTAAACCAAGACTGCTGGAAGGAGGGGGCCTCCACTCGAGGGAGCTCGGCCAAGCCGCGGCTGGCCGGACGTCTCGGAGGACGCGGGGGATTCTCCACACGACTATACCCACACTGGGATCGGACCGGCAACCTCTGGATTGCAAGTAGAGTGTATTCACCACCACCACCACCGCGGCAACAGCAGCAGCAGCCCTTAAACGCGCAGGTGCGGCACAATAACCTTGGTAATGGCTGGGGGGTGTGGGTGAGCGGTGCAGAGAGAGGTTTTGGAGGAGCGGTGGCTGCCAATCGCGATAATCAAATTCCTCCCCCCAACACGCAACACCACCCAATGCCCGCACCCCTACCCCTACCTAATTATCGCATCGGCAAAAAAAACCCCATAAACTTTACGCTCGCAACATTTGGGCCGCGTATTTAAGAGGTTCTCCTAACAAAGGCGGTTCGTTAAAACGCTACACGCACCCCCACCCCAACACCCCCTCCCCCTCCCACCACCACCCAATCCCCACCCACCACCCAATCCCATTACATCCCAACCCCCCCAATCGTCTCTCACCGCCGCACCCCCTCCACCACTCTCTCTCCCTCCTGCCCGACACCCCCCCCCTCCGAGCCCGCCCCCCCAAACACGTGAGCGAGACATCCTCCTTCTCTAACCAGGGAGGGGGGGAAGAGCGTCTGTATTGTGGGGGGGGGGGGCGATGCTATATTGTAAGGGGTCCCAGGGGGAGCACTTCTCTAATGAATGCGGCCCCCCGAGAGCACGTCTAATGAACATAGCCATCAGTGCTGATGAGGGGGGGGGGGGGCGGTGGGGGGGGGGGCAAGCTCTCAAACCCCGTGCCACGTTTGTCGGGTTCTCCCGCGCGACGAGACGCCGTCGCAGCCGCAGATGCCGCGGGGGCTTTCGGAGAGGTTCCTGCAGAGCGCAAAGCCGCACGGCCACCATCAGTGGTGCCAGGATTATCGTCGACAGCGGCAGCATTATCGTAGCCGAGAATGAGAGCGAATGCGCCGCGTCATCGCCGCTAACATTAACACACCACCACCGCCGCCGCCAGCGATAACACGCAACCAGCACTATTAACGCACCGCGATCACCACTACCAACACACCACCACCAGTAACATGACGACACCACTGCTAACAAACCACCACCATCAGTAACAAAACACCACTACTAATGCACCAGTAACATCACCACAGCTAACACACCACCACCGCTAACACAACACCACCACCGCTACTAACACACCACCACCACATCCACACTACCACACCACCACCACATCTACAATACCACGACCACTAACAAACCACCACTAACACACCACCATCAACAACAGTTATTCGCCCCTAAGTGGGGGTGACGTCACCACGGCGCTTGTGCCAGGCTGTGCACGTTGAGGCCACGTGAAATGTCGAACGCCCGCTGGCAGGGAGGTCACAGGGCAGACCCAGGTGCTACGGGTCGACTGAGATGACTGGCCGATGCACCACCTGTGCCCCCTACTGTGCCAACTTGCTGTGCTTTCGCCACCCGGCGCTCCGCTCGTTCTGTGAGGGTCACTCCTCCGCCCTCCGTTGTTGTTGGAGGGCGACTGCCTCCAACTGCCCAGTAGCAGCGTCCTTCACGAGCCTCCTCCACAGAGGCCGATCTTGACACCGCTGGTACCAGTCATCGGCAAGTCCACTCAGCTCCACATCCTCCTGTACCACATCACTCCATCTCTTCTCTAGCCCGTGCCACCCCCGTTCAGGCCCCTCTAACCGGCCGAACAAAAGCTATTTAGGCATGCGGTGGCTGGGCATGCGGGATACATGACCCAGCCACCACCACTACCAACACACCACCACCAACACACCACCACCACGAACACACCACCACCAAAGACAACTCCCCTGGCCAGGTAGTCCCACGACAAAACAAACGGGGGCTGTGGGGGTGGGGATTGACTCATCCCATCATCCCTCCGTGATTGATAAAATGAATACCACTTTGAGGGCAGTTGAACGGTGGTTGTCAAATGGATATTCTC